GCCAAGGATGGCAGTGTGGGCTTTGTCATTTAATGGAGATGGGTTGGAGAATTAGGTAAAGAGAGGGATTGGGCCAAGGTTGGCAGTCCATGGAGAAGTAATGAAGTCTCTGAATTGGGCCTCGAAAGCAGCCCAGGTCGGCCCAAATCTTGAGCTGAGGGGAAAATCTGGTTGCTGATGTCGAGGTTAGGAATTGGTGTATTTGAGCTAGCTGACGCCGCAAGGACAGGGCCCGCCGGATAGGTGACTTCGACGGGCGGCGGCGCTGAGAAAGGCAGAGGCGGCGCTGTAGCAGTTGAAGGTGGTCCGCCAAACGGAGGAGGTAAGCCGCCTGTGCGGGATATGTCATTTTCCGGTACTTCTGCTCGAGAAAAAAGATTCATGTCGTGAAATGGTACTGATGATTGAGCAACAGATTTGACAAATTTCTTAAGTCTGTTAGTCCATGAGGAAAATTTGCTATGGATTTCACCCGAGGTCTGTGACAGAGAACCGGTCGAGAGTGGAAATGGCGCGATCTGAGGGTTTGGATAGAACATCTTGACTGGGAGAAAGAGGGAGAGAGAGTCGGGGTTGAAAGGCTGGCCGACCACCCGAGAACGGGCGGCTCGCCGCCGGCGACGACTGACGCCGGCGAGGCTAGCTGGGGAAGATGATCGGAAAGACGAAATGAGGGATTGGGTGGAAGAAGGGGGATGGGGTTTCTAGAGAGAGAGAGTTAGAGAGATATGAGAGTATTTTAACTTGGTGGTGTAGTTATATTGTGGTATTTAAGTTGTCTTGGGTAATCTTCCTCTTTCAATTAATGAGCCGATTGTAACTATTTATTTAGTGAATAAATTCTACTGATAATAAATAAAAAAAATAAAAAAAAAATAATAATGATCCAAGCATCTCAACTTTTTTCTTCACGTGAAAAAGGGTACATAAAGTGAAAAACATGGTCCGCCAAACAAGGATTGTCAAAAAGGGATATTTAAGCAAAATTATGGTTTGAAACGGGTCATCATAGTCCCTTCATGAAAAGTTCGTTGCACCAACCTTTTCCTTCTTTTTAAAAACAAGGTCAATAGTGATACAATTATCTTAGACCCCTCACCATATTTCCAACCATTATTTCTTTCCCCAATTCTCAAATAAATAATACTAGTACAATATCCGTGTATTATACGGGTGCTTATTAATTTTTTTCTTAAAGCTAAAATTAATGAGGAAAAGTAGTTGAAAAATTAAATACCTTTTATAAAAATATTTATTATTATATATTTAGTATGATACTTTTTATTTGTGTGACTTATCTGTGTTATATTATAATATTTTTTAACTTACAACATATAACTACATTAAACATAAATATATCAATTGAGAAACAATTTTATTTTTTAATGAATTTTAGTAAATATTATTATTTTTTATTATTATAAAGATAAATATAATTTATTTATTTCATATATACAATATGGATGTCAAATCGAAGATCATCAAAAGATGATTAATTTTATATATTATATATGTAAAACCGATAAGAAATACAAAAGTTATCAGCTTTTAAAATACATTTACAATTCAATAGCTTATTGTAGAAAGCAAATCAAAAGTCAGGCATATATTAGTCACTTAGTGCCTCACTATGTAAAATTACAAAGAATTAAAGAGTTATAGTAATACAAGTGCTATTAAATACCTAGATTAGCTAATAATATTTTTGGAATGTCTGAACCTAGATTATTAATTACTAATATATCAATATTATTTGTCCAAAAACCTAATTACGAAGCATGATTCTTTGCCGAGTAGGATTCCGAAGCACCAGAAGCAGCCACGTAGGCTCAGCGCATTCGAAAATTATATATAAGGAGGATAACGCGGGCTTGTGTCAGTATATGTTAATAAAACACATCTTTTATCAATTTTGAAATTATATATTGGCTAAATTCAGTATATGTTAATAAAACACATCTTTGAAACTGATAATAAGAACAATTATATTGGTAACTGAAAGACTGAGACCATTCAAATACTTAATTATTTCCAGATCTTGTCTTTATTCTTGTGTAAAATTAATTGTACTATAAAGTAGTTAAAATTAACCAATAGTAAAAATCCATCTCCAAATGTTCGCACTACATTTTACTCTACATAATATTACTCTTTTCTTCTTATTTAAATTAATTTTAATAGCATAAATATAATTTAATGAAATACATTGTCATACACATATTTAGTTATTTAAATTATGAATATATGATTGAAAAAGTACAATAAGTACAACATAATTTATATTAAGATTATTGTATTCATTTGGATATTAATCATGTATTTCCAACAACATTAAGATTATTTTATTTATTAGAAAGTCATAATGCATTCTCATTGGATAATCTAAGGGGAGTGTATTCAATTGGGATTTCTAAACACTTTAGACTTTTAAAAATCTTGAGGTATTCATTTAGGATTCCAAAAGGTCTTACAAAAGATGTTTAACTTATTTGAGACTAGGATTAGTTAAAACTTTTTAAGATTAGCTGAGATTTGAAAGAAAAAAACATATAGGAAATCACACTACAAAACTTTCAAAATTAAGATTTTACAGTATTCCTCTAAAAAACAAAATTTTAAAAAATCTCAAATCTCAAAAAGTCTTTAAAATGTTACTTGAAATCCGAAAAAATACACTTCCATTGAGTCATAACATGTTACTACAAGATGTCAAGATTATTTTGTTACCGACAATATATATATATATATAGAGAAAGGATCATATGAGAATGATATATAGTGAAAGAAATGAGAATA